TCACAGAACTACCCGCAAAAGCACTCTTCAAAAATTTTGCCTACTCTTGTGTGTCATACCTGTTCAAATTCGGTCGCTAGAAGAAATTTGAACAAGAGAGAGCGCAACTCGTATGACACACCAGTATGATAGTCTGCACCCCACTTTAAACATAACTCAGGCATTGGCAACTATATTGCACATGTATTGGTGCTTAGAAGGCAACCTAAATTTCTTCTTGCAATGCAACATTGTAGTTCGTGCATAGACAAAATACCAACAAAGCAATGCATTAAAAAAAACTTTGTACTTGAATCGAAAACGCAAGTGAAAGTGAATTATATTTTATGTTCGTGTATATGCTTTCCTCCTCTCGCAGCGCTAGTGTGGGTGTGCACTTGGAAGTGGCGTTGTTTTTGCATTCGAACTGTTTTTTGCAACGAACTTCTTGTGTTCGTTTCCTCGCATCTTAACATTTAAATAAGCGCACTACAGTCAAATGTTAAGTGCACGACTAAGTATTGCAGCTAAATAGATACAATCTGGCAATCTTTTTCTGGCAATAATGGCGTTGGAAAATTGAGCTAATAATTCAATTTCTGTTCAAGATTCACAGACACAGCTTTCGCCTGAGTTTCCTTTAAGCTTTCCATTCAATTTTCACATTAAAATAATGCGAATAAATGAATAAATTGCTTGACATTGTATTTTATTATGAACTATTACTGCTATCTTAAAGTAGCCCATTCTAAAGTGGCGCAATGATATCTTCCAAATATGTTCTTGTGTTCTTCTAAATCAACCACTTACAGATATTTTAAGATATGTTAAGTTAAGTTGTAGTGGTAGGCTTTTAGCCAAACACTACTTGAGGTCAACTCTACTTAAACTATTGAGATCACGCGGATAAGCATTGTTCATACGTTGACTAGAAATTAGCGTACGGGCAGCGAAGAAAAGCAAAGAGTCAAATCTATAAACTTGACGAAGTTCCTAATTTTGCAGAATAAAAACTTTATCATATAGCCAATGATTGAAACTGACACATGAGATGGAGTACAGAGACCTCTTCATCCGCAGAGTTAGAATCATGAAAACTGTCATTATACTATATACTAAATTTCAAAGCTTGTCTTCCTAGTATGAAGTGACCCGTTAGCAACGATAACATGGTTTTGACTAGGTCACGCCTTAGTTGAAGCAGCTGACTTGTACGTTCATCTAACCAATTTTATTTGGCTATACTCAATTATTTTTATTTGATTACCGGTTTAACCGTTGCAAATGACATATCAATATCTGAGAAAAAATTATCAGGGAACTGAGTAGCTGCCTCAGCAAGCTTATCTATAATGTATTTGTCCGAAATATCCCTGTGTCCATAAACCTATTTGAGTCTAACACTAAACCATCTTGCTAATACGTTAAGAGAAACCTGGCATTCTCGAATTGTTAAGGATGTGGCTGTAGCACCTACCAGAGATTAGATATGCTAAGTAGTTATAGTAGAAATGGTAGATATATGTATGGATTTGATATTTTTTTAACTGATTTTGAAGGCCGCCTGTAATTTGTTTTTTTTTTAAGTTTTATTATTTCAGTAATTTTCAATAGTAGTTCTGCTGCTATTGTAGTATAAAATTAGTCTCCGGAATAATCTTCCAATTTTCCAACTTTCCAATCATTTGACATATATATAAATAAAAATCTCATCTTTTGAGGATTTTCTTCTATGTGTATACAATAAAAATTACTTTAAGGCAGAGTCTATAGTTTTCTAACAGAATCACCTAGCATTTAGGCTCAACACCATTTTATTCTTAAAACGTATATGAGTATAATGCAACAATAAACTTTCACATTGAAATTATATACGATTCCACCGGTACCAATTGAAAATATACCTTTGGATATAGTAATTCTAACCGCGTATACATTAAGACTGAAAAGTTTTCGGAAATTCTCATTTAAAATTCGCGCGCTGTATATTTTTCGATATTTTAAGTTTATGTAGTTTGGCAGCACTGTCCTTAATTAACTATGCCAAAAATGAGCGCGATCTGTCAGACAGTTCGTTTACGGCAGCTGTTGAAACCAGTTCCCCTCAGTAGTGCGTTGCGAAATGTCTTCGACGGTCGTACGACCGTCCTGAAAGGCTTTGTACCACTCATAAACTTGAGTTTTCGATAAAACTGATTCCCCATAAGCCTTTTGTAGCATTCGCAACGATTCTGCACACGAAATTTCGTTCGAAACACAAAATTTGATGCAAACTCTTTGTCCAATATTTTTTTCCATTGTTTTTTTCGCAACGCACTACTGAGGTGAACTGGTTTCAACAGCTGCCGTAAACGAACTGTCTGACAGATCGCGCTCATTTTTGGCATAGTAATTGTCCTTAATTGCTGCCAAACTACATAAACTTAAAATATCGAAAAATATACAGCGCGCGAATTTTAAATGAGAATTTCCGAAAACTTTTCGGTCTTAATGTATATAGATTTCAAATACGAAAACCCTGTGAGTCCCATATGGAATAGAAACTACCATCCAAACATTTTTTTTATATTAAATAACTGAGTCTCGAAATATTATTGTTGGGGAATTTTTAACTTTATACTTAAAAAAAATTAAGCCATTTAGGGCTCCGTTATATAGCACCTACAAATATGCTGTAGAACGTACAGTTCCAAATTTTATAAATTGAGTTCGTTTATATTGTTTTATTTAGTATTAAAGTAGTTGTTTAGTATTTCTTCATTCTTCAGGTAGTATTAGAAAGCGTGCTCACCCTCTCATCTGCTATAAAAGAGAACTTACTACAACTGAGTTCTAATATGTAATGATAGTCTCATCTATAAACTTCCATCAAACTAATATGGTAGTTTGAAAGTAGAACTAAAACATTTCTACAATTTAAAACTATTTGGCAACTCACAAAAATTTTTATTTTTGAACGTTGTACTAAGAAGCAAAGTGTGGATAACGGAGCGTATGAGTTATATATTCAATAACTAATATTTTTGGATTTAAGTTTAAATTTAATTAAGTTTCAAAAATTAAATAATTAAAAATAATCTTTTTTACTTCATTATTGAATATTATTCAATACTGTTTAACTTTGTATATTAATTAATAAAATTTTCGAGCAAAATTATAAATGTTTTTAATTTTTATTAAATTATTAAAAACCAATTTAGGTTCAAAGGTGAATTTTATACATATATTTTTTATATTTATTGATATAAAATATCGTTTAAATAAATAACCATATTGCTAAAGGCATTCTCACACTTTGTAAAAAATTAATTAATTATTTTTTGCCACAAACTATTCTGTACAGTTGTTTATAATGCAAAATATTAATAAAGGATATTTAAACTAGTAATTATAAAATTATATAATTTACATTTTTCTTTTAACAAATGGATTGTGTCACAATATAGTATGTGTTGCATATTCCACAATTTTTGACAAGCACGAGCTCTAAGCCTGGCACTTGCAGTCTTAACAAATTATATACGGACTATAAACTAATTAGGAAATTTTATTATTTCCTTAAAAAAAACCACTGATGATGAGTATTTGGCAATACTCGAAACAGCGAAAAAATATTAAATAAATATTTGTTCTTGTCTTTTCTTTACTTTTTGAATCCGTCTAATTTTTAAATAGTTTTTTTTTGTCATAAAGACGCGTCACTTCGGCAAGAAAAAATTAAAACATATTTTCATATTTGAAATTATATATTCAATGCCACAATAAATCAGTAATCATGTTTTGAAATAAAAAAAAAATTACAATTCAATTCAATCCTTAAACCATGTCCAACTGATATATTACGTGGATGTAAACGGGTCACAATTGTGCTTATTTTCGAATAGTCTTAAACAGAAATGACCTAGATTGCTGAAAATTATTTTTTAGAAAATAATAAGTATTTTTTCAGTTACTTCAAAGCCCAAAATGGGATGTTTTTACACAGTTTAATATGAATTTCCTGACAAGAAATGGATCTGTTTCAGGTTATTTCAAAGTACAAAATGCGAAATGTTTACGCACTAATTATTCATTTAATTATTTATTTATTTCTTTAAAGTAAAGACAAATATGGATTACAATAATTTAATTTAAAGTAATAGAGAGTTTTAGGCACTTACACCTTTCAAACTTATATTATGCTGGATTAAAATTTAATCCATAATTTAATATTATATCAACATATGGTTGAAATTTTTGAGTCAATTAGTTTTTATACCTACTAAAATGCAAATCTTAGAACTTAAAGTTCTTAAAAGCGATTTGAATTAATTGATTGTTTTCGATTTCCATTCGCACTTTGGTTTATAGTCTTGATATTTTCAATTATATTGTTGGAATTCTCATTATCACAAATGTTATCACTTCATCTGAATTTTTTAATTATATTAAAAGTAGTAGGATATGTAAGTCGGTTACGTTGAGCATAAATTTAATATAAGATTCATTATTTTTATATTAAATTGTAACAATTTATTTTATTCCAAAAAATTCTTCTTTCTAAATGTTTGGTTAAAACCTAATTCTTCATTATATTAATTTGAAAAAGAAATCTTTCCGTAATTATTTAAAAAAACACAGGTTAAAAGCTATATTTATTGATTTGAATATAAGTATATGTATATATGAATTGTACATATGAATTGTACATGAATTGTATAAGTATTATATATATGTAGCTGTCGATATTCTCGATAATCACAGTAAACTGGATTATAATTTAAATATATTGACAACACAAAACTGATAAAAATTTAGAAAGAAAATTATATTCCAAGTAGAATTAAAATGATTATTTTTTTATATATAAGATATTCTCATATTTTAATGATGTAGGGTAGACGTCGTTCGTTGTTACAATTTATTATTGTTCTAAGATAATTTCTTAGATAATTTTTAATCATATATGTATGTATAATATAGTGTAAATGCAATTCGTTGTTATGCAATTTATTATTATTTTTTTCTAAGATAATTTTTAATCTATATATATGAAAATGAACGTTGTCTGTCTGTATGTCTGTACTCGATGGATTCAAAAATCATACATCCAATCACTGTGAAAATTTGAGAAATTATTAGGTAATTCCGGGAAAGCTTTCTGGAAATTTTTATTAAAATCAGAGTTGGGGTTCTAGGTTCATTTAATTAGTAATATTTTGGTGAAAGTGTATTCTGCAACATAATTTCCAATATCATTTAAAACAATCTAGCAATCCTCGAGAAGAAGAAATATATTGTGAGAAGTCAGTTTGGTTTTTACATTCGTACAGTGTGTGTTTTAGTTTAGTTTTGAGTAAATATATTAAGTGAAATAGAATCATTTATTTAATTTAATTTATTAAAATCAGAGGGAAATACGTTTTATTTAACACCATAATTATGCCACCAAAGCGAAGTATCATTGGTCGAACTACAAATCAAGCAAAAAGGAGAAGAGAAGAATGAGCTTCAGAAACAAGTGAGCAGAGAAAAACTAGGCAAGAAAGAGATCAAGTTCACACTGCTCTTGCTTGATTATTAGAAACGAGTGAGCAGAGGCAAACAAAATAAGAAAGAGATCGAGTTCACACTGCTCCTGCTCTATCATTAGAAACGAGTGAGCAGAGGCAAGCAAGGCAAGAAAGATATCGAGTTTACACTGCTCTTGCTCGTTCATTAGAAACGAGTGAACAGAGGCAAGCAATTCAAGAGAGAGATCGAGTTCACACTGCTTTTGCTCGATCATTGGAAACGAGTGAACAGAGGCAAGCAAGGCTGCAAAGGAATCGAATTCGAACGATACATACTGATTTGAATTTATGTGGTTTCCATTACAATCCCCTTTACAATTACAGTCTTCATTCAAGTGTAATTATTAGAAAAATGGATAGAAAGTGTAAGTATTGTGGGGCTCAAAAATTTAAAAAAACATCAGGTATGTGCTGTGCAGGTGGAAAAGTAAAGTTACCAGACTTTCGTTCACCACCTGAACCATTATTAACTTTAGTATCAGGTGAAACAAGTCTATCAAAAAATTATTTGAAAAATTTACGCAAGTACAATTCATACTTCCAAATGACATCGTTCGGAGCAACGAATATCGTTAGCGCAAATTATATGCCAACATTTAAAGTACAAAAGCAAATTTATACCATGCTGGATCACTACTACCCTTGCCAAATGCCGATCACAAATATCTTCAGATATATGGTATTTTATGGGAAATACTGACGAACAAATCAACAGACGGTGTCAACTGAATATGAGTACTAAACGACAGATGTCGCTGAATTACAAAATTTGTTTGAACAATATAATGAATTAATTAAATTATTTAAAACCGCGATTGTAGTAGTATCATATTATCATATTGTATCATATTATCATATTTTAATGATATTATATGCAAGTAGTAGTTAATAATGGTAGTTTACAATTTATTATTTTAACTTCTTAGATAATTTTTAATTCTTTATATATAGGACATTCTCATATATTACTAATGTAGGGTAAATGTACTTCGTTGTTACAATTTATTATTTTTTTCTTCCAAGATAGTTTTTAAAAAATTATATAGGAAATGAAAGTCTCTCTTGACCAACACTGCCACGCTACTCTCATGTCATATGTATTTTAAAACTTGTACATTTTTTATACGTACAAAGTCCTCACATATTCTTTTGGCATTAGCTGTCCCATTTGGGTTGATGCCATACTCGCATGTGTGTAAAATGATACAGTTTAACAGATTTCCTTGCGATTTGTGTGCCCAGCGTCCTTCAGTGCTTCAGTGTAGCGACACTTGAGATCTGTCTGCAGCTAAAGCGTTTGGGTACTCGGTGCATTCTCATGGTGTGTGATGTTAGAAGTGGGTGCAGAGGAAGATAATGCAGAGGGATTGTGTGCATAACTAGGAATAGCACTCTAAGCGAATGCAGGGAACTGAATGGTAAAAGAAACGCCTTTGGTACTGTTTCGTATACGAGTATGCATAAGGCAAAAGCTATTTCCAAATACACACCAACAGATACATAGCATACTTGTATACCATATAGTACATAAAATATAATAAAAAATATATCTACATAAATTCTATAAGATATCATATATTTTAACAAATGTGCGTATCTGTGTAGAACCGTAATTATTGGTAGATAAAATTGTGTAACGCTGAAGTAAATGTTTGTAGTTAAGTGTATGTTGCGCTTGCTTCTGTGTATGCTGGCATTTGTGGGATATGCTATACTAGTGTGGAGGATGGGATGTTGGATGTTGAGTGTTGTTGGCTAAGGCGTTGAACGCTTCTGAATAAATGAAGGCTAAGTTGCTGTGGAATTTAAGTAGGATTTTCTCTAGCGCGATATTAATCCAAAAGGATGCACAGTTGAGGTTAAATTATACTTAAGTTTGTTTAAGGTTGAATTTTGTCACAAATTAAGAATGAGTTTATCTTTGCTTTTTTTTGGTTTTTATAATCTTTTAATTATAAATTTCTACAAAATTATGAAAATTTATAAAAATATGAAAATTCACAAAATTTTCTTTAATTCCATTTTTAGGAAATATCGGTAAACAAATAAAAGGAGGATATCTCTTGCGCTATAAAAGTAAGTCATCCAGAGATTTCATTTTATCATTTTTTTATTCATATTTATTATTCATTCAAGTTTTTTATAAAATAAATGTGTTTATTGTATTAAGAATTTGTATAATTTACTTGGAAATTTTTTGGTAAATTAATTTCTATGAAAAATCTTATACCATCCTTAAAAGCTATCGAAGCGAAAACCTATTAGGAAAAGATTGAGTGTGTGTTTTTTTAGAAGTCAGTTTGCAAAGCTATTTTAAAAATGTCACCAGCAATAATGAACGTTAAAATTTTAAGTGGTATTGACACTGTCATAAAGTGAAGTTGAAATTGAAATTTTGATGGAAATGAGTACAGAACGAAATACCAAAAATTTTTCATTGAAGTACATAAAAGATTTTTATCTTTCATTAGAATTTAGTGCGAATATCTTAGATAGATAAAAGAACATGAAAATGTTCTTGAAAATGAATTATAAGAAATATTTAACTCATAGTTTGAAAACTCAAGAATGCACACTAAAGCAATTTATAAAAAGAATTTCTCTCTCAATATATATTCTTATTAAATAAAATGGATTGCTTAAAACTAACTAAGATACATCTTCAAAATATGGTGGCCAAAACGCATCTCTAACGCGGGATTGTGGAAAAGAGCGAACAATGACAATGAATAGGACACACGTTACGCTAGTCGAATTTCTGTATCGCTGAGCAAGCCCTAAAGTGGAATCCGGCCTGGCGACCCTTCAAGAACATGGCAAAGGACAATTGATGCCGAACTAATATCAGCGCGCTATTCATGGAACGATATCTACACGGCAGCTCCGAATAGAATACGGTTCAGAGGGTTCATAGAGAGTTTCTATGCTTCAATGGGAGTTAATGGAACAAAAAAGTAGAGTTTAAAGCCAGAACATACAGACAAAAAATAAATAAACGAATATCTAATATTTTTTTGTTGTAACCCGCGGGGAGCTGCTTGTGAAATCACTTTGTGAGGTATTAAACGACACTTGGTCGTCGAAATTGACAAGTGGCTAAGGCCGTTTGTGGAACCAATATCTAATCTAACTTCCTAACAAAAATTACATATCAAGCAAAAAAATATTAACATATATACAGCAAATATTAAAATATAGAGTACATTGTTAATATAATTTATTAATTTATTTAATTTCATAATCAATAGAAAACTTTAACAAATTACAGTTTAGTGTCCTATACATGCTGCTTGCATTTTGCTTACATCAATAGAGAAAATATCGTATTAACTTCATCCATTACGTTTGTATTTTGATCTTATCCTGTAGTGAAGAACATAACTGAAATGACATTTAAGGTTAAAGAAACTTTATTCGTATTTCACTTTTTGTAATATTATATAAATATTTTACATCTCGCTTTGAAATATTGACTGTAATCACTTCATTGTTCTAGTCAATACCAAGTAAATTTTTGCTAGGCTTTGGCTTGTGAAATATTATTGTTGTCAAATTCAAACGTCGATTTCAGCTTTTAGTAGTTCTACTCTAATTTCAGATTTAAATTAAAAATTTTTTGCTTTCAATTGTTGTTATCTGATATGGGTAACCTAGCAAAAGATGTGAAGTGCCTTCGGTGGAAAACATCAACACATACCAAAAAATGTATGAAAAGAATAGGTGAGGAAAAAGGTTTAGCGATACCGAAACTTAAGCACTCTTCACACAAAATTATTCATTAAAAATATATTATTTACATTACAACAGTATGTATGTATACCAGTAATGTTGAAGCTTTATCAATTCGAAGCTAAATAAGCATTCGCTTATTTCATAGATTAATTTTTGACACATTTTTTCCATCAAAACTTACATCCAATATATTTTAGATATATCTATTTATTACTATACATTATTATTATACACGGACAATAGTCGAAAATATTTGTAATATAAAAAATTTTGTATAAAAATTAAAATATAACTAAATATTTAACACTGTTTAAAAAGTGTAATTTTTTATTTTATTTAAAAAAATTTTTTATAAATTTATGTGTTAAATAAACGATCTAAGCCTAGTAACAAATAAAAACACTTTATCTATTTACCTACATTTATATATATGTATCTATACATCTAATATATATTCGTATATTTGACTAATATAAATATATTAATATAAGCTTATGAACGCGCACGGAACGTTTCTTTACTGAAAAAGAAACCATTGAACCATTTATGATTCACAGCGAAATACTCTGAAGCGCTAGGCAAATTTACAATTATCTTTTAAGCAAAAATGTACGCGATATATACATTTTTTCGTTTGAACTTACTCAAGTATTTATCTCGAAGTTAGCAACATATATGCTTTATGTCCGCGATGCAGTTTCACTCCAACTTTGATCAGGGTGCTCCGGAGTATTTAATGATGCTACAAGATCATCTTGATTGTTCTTGACAACTCCATTTTTAATTTCATAACCAAGAAAATTTAATTCGTCGATATTAGTAGATGACATTGATTTCTTTTCATTCAAAATTAACCCAAGATTCAATAATATTTTAGATACTTCACTAAGATCCAGAGCGACTCTTGTTGTTAGAAAAGATTCATCTACAAAAAACACAGAATTAATTGGAAATCTGTGTGTAATGTGTAAAAAACTGCATACGTTAAAGCAAGACAATTTACAATGGAACTGATTAGTTGACTAAAATAGCTACCACTGGGTATACCACTTGATTTTTTAAACCTTAACCCCTTTGCTGTTCGTATGGGTGTATTGATGAAGTAGTCTTTTATTGTGGCAAACATGTGTATCATTTTGCGTGCATCAGCTACTCCATTTCCTCTATAATGAACAAAATCAATATTTAATTGTAATATATCAAATGCAATCTCAATAAGCCAGGCAGGAACAGTTTTATCAAATTTTGAAAATTTTAAACTGTGATAATTTTCATCGGTCCATCAGTTACGCTTTCCATACCGTAAGCAAATGGTGAAGTGTTCGTGGGCAATTGTGAATAAGCATCAATCAAAGGTTTCGCAAATACTGCTTCCCCAAAAGTAACAGTAGCGGGGTAACCCCAAATCGCTCTAACCTTCTTATCGTCATGAGCGCAAACAAATGCACAGCAATCTGGAAATTGCATTTCCTGTTTAAGTTTTACATAATGCCAAAACTTTCGTACCGCTCTAACTCTCTCAGGATCATCTCGAATCTCCATTATTGTTCTAATGCCATACTTGATCCATGGCCATCCTGCACTTTTACTCCATATACCCAAATCTAATTCACAGATATCGCAGATGTGCAACATAGGTAACTTGATGGTGTATCTCTGGGATATAATAAAAATTTGTTTAGTGTAACAAAAATCGCAACATATAAACGCATATCATTTGGTCTCACAGTTTCATTTGAAAATTCTTTTAAATCTTTCAATAACAAACCTTTTGTGACTGGCGATCGATGCTTATCAGGAGTTTATTTTTTACTCGGATAAATTTCATCACAATTGAGTAATGGAAATTCAGTATCTTTTCCCTTATATTGTCTATTGTCTATACAGGTATTATGAATCCTTATTAACACAGTACTGAACAATATATTCATTGGAAAGTAAGGACGTATTTTCGAGTGCTCCGTTGCTTTAGAGTTAAACGAGCTTGTAAAAATATAATTATCGTCAATACCTAATTTTTCAAATATCGCAAAAAAAATAAATACTTACTGGGTGTGTTCAAATATCGATTCTTGAGTGCTTTCTTTTAAGAAAACTATGAAAAACTATTTTTCCAAAAAAGACAAAAGTGAACAATAAACAAAGAAAATAAATAAAACTATGTTATTGCAAATCTGCTCCAAATGTTATGATTTTATTAAACACTAGTGCTGCTCATTTTAGTGCTGCTTATATCCGATTTTACGAACTATTTAAAAAATTCGAGTAATCACACGAGAGTTTGTACTTTTAGCTGTCATGTTTGTTATTTTAGCTGTCAATTGTTGTTGCTTTCTATGCAAAATGAAAATTCGGCTAAAATAACAAACAAAACTGTCGTATAAGTCCAGTATAACCTGATGGCAAACAAAGTCTCCGGAGTTAAAAAAAAAATATGGTTTTCGTTTACAAGATTTTTTATTTACTTGTTAATAAATATTTATTTATTTGTTTTATATTAAAGAAATTATGTTAATGAAAATATGAAATATAATATAAAAGATAAAAATATATGTAAAAAATTGTCAAAATTAATATTTATGCATTTATAAATATATTATTTTTGTTATTATTATAAATATTATTTTATCGAAAATTTGATTTAAAAATCGCATTTAAAAAAAATGAAATTACAAATTAAAACCTTTAAAATTAACCATGGAAAAAAATTAAGGGATAACATAATTGGTCAGAAACCCTTTATAAATATGCAACGAAAACCGTTATACATATATATATTTTTTAAAACTAAATTTAATTTTAAATATCCATTTTTTTTACACAATTTTGCTAATACACTAAATCGCATTTTCTTTATAACAAAAACAAAAAATACAAATTATTTCATGCATATACAAATCTGTGTTTCGCTTTAACATTCGCTAACGAAGTCTTCGAATAGTAGATATACGGAGGACTACTAGGGTGAAGAACCTAGCAGTCCAGTTTCTTATTCTTAGTTAACCTTAAAAACATAAATAAATATATAAGTAGTACTACGAATAATAATCGCAAATCAAAATATTCGAAGGATTCGAATTCATAAAATATCATATTTTTTCAGCTTCGGAGTATTTGTTTCTATCCGATTAATCGAATAATCGAGTACCCCTTCAGTTTTTAGATTATCCGAGTAATATGAATAATAAAAACAGCACTATACACACTACAAACACAGTTGATGGAGACAGCAGCTGTACGTTAATGTACAGCGGCGAAGAAGTGTAACGTTAAAACTTTACACAAATTAAATCCGAAATTAACGTTTAGTCGTTTAAATTTCAAATTAAATTCGAAATTTATATTGTAAATATGTATATATAATTTATAGTTAATATAAAGCAAAAAACAAGCAAATAAAAAAATGAATTATTTCTTGTGGTACTTATCAATTAATAGAGCACCAACCCTGGTAAAAGAAGCTGATACACACCAGTCGAAATTGGTAATTCGCCAACAGATTTAATTCAATCAATAAAATAAAATCATAAATATGAACATATTAAAGATAATTTCAGTTTACTTAAGGTCTCTCAACAGGAGCGATTAGGTTCTATAAGAGCAATAGAAAACTACAGTTTGAAAATCCTTGTCTCTCAAAAATTCTCATACCCAATCAGATAGAAATGAAGAGTAGATCGTAGTAAAAGGCCCTGGGAAAGTCCTGAGAAAATAAAGAAGCCGTAACAACAGAAACTTAACTACGGCCTAAGTAATGCACACAGATTTGATGGACTCGTAGTTAAAAATAAAAAATACTTGTGAAAAACACTATCTGAAAAATCTTGAACTATTTGCATGTCTTCAGAACATGATCATTTTATTGGAGAAGTGGAGGAACTATATCTTTTTCTAATGACAGTCATCTATGTCTTTACATGGCATGACCAAGTTATATTAACTAAATATTAATATTATTTGTGGTAATGCTTGTGATATAATTGTTATCTATGCTTGACATACGAGTATGACATATATTTAAAAAAATGTGTCTCTTGTCACTTCCGGTCTTCTTTTATAAACATGCCTTACCCACATATATAGGAGTGTGATATGTAGACTGTTGGTTTTGCCGGTCGAGCGTGTGTTTTTCCTCCTAATCACAACAGATAATATCTAATAGTATCATAATTTTGTGTTTCTACGTCACATAGAAACATGGGATAGTGGTTGAATATAGATGTTGGTATTGAGTATAATTTTTAAAAATCTAAAAACTGCGAAAACGGTTGTGGACGAATCGCAGTGAGCCCGCTGAAACGGTTGTGATGAGTGTTTGGTGAGATTGGAAGGGAATCATCTACTATGAGCTCCTCCTCTACAGTAAAACTCTTTACTTGGTACTATACTGCCAACAAATAAACTGTCTGAAAGAAGCAATTACCCTGGCCAGAAAGGGACAGTTTTGGGCAATAGGAGAGGAATTGTGTTTCATCAGGACAATGCCAGGCCACACACATCAATGACTAGCCAAAACCTGATCAACCTGGTTGACTGATTGGTAAGTTTTCACTAATTACCATTTGTTCATGTGAACATTTTTTCTGGTGAAAAATTTGCTTCAAGGCTTGTGAAAATTGAGAGAGAGAGAGGCATAATGACATTACCTTTAAAATGGTAACAAGTTATCGAACAAAAGGGCGCATATTTGACTTAAATCGGATCATTCTAACTATGGAAAACAAGCCTTCAATTTTATGCAAAAATAATGGTTTTCTTTTCACTACACCTTTTATTTCGATCTGATATAACTTTTTTATCACTACCATTTTATCTCTTAACATTTTACCGTATATTTAAATTTGGACAACGATTTCTTTATTGATTTTCGAATATCTGAATCTGTTGCTTAACTAAAGACCCTGATTGCTACTTGGCAATTGCTCTGCAGTTATTTTCTAACTTATGTGTGAATTATTTATGGCTAGCTTTGTCCGCATCTTATATTTCTCCTTAAATTATTTGATTGTAAGGCGTTCAAAACTGACAACTGAAGCAAATTTCGCGAAGGCCCTTCTCATCTACGGTTCCGCCATTTAGTTGCATTTCATTCATTTTACTTTCACTACTTGTGCAATTATGCTTTCGAAACTACCTTCAAATGGCCCTTCATCATTTTTTTTCACAATTTTGCAGGATTTTGTGACAATTTGCTAAATCAGCATAAGTGCAATTCACACTGACATGACACAGCAGTTCCTTACAGATAAAGAGGCAATTTTTTGCTTACAGTTTTCTACAAAAACTGGCAAAAAGCAACCCATTGGAATACAACTTAACTGCTGCGATAAAGATTATATTACTTTTATGAAAACTATTTTTAGGGCTTCGCGGCCACTACAGAGAATCACCAAACTTCTTTATTTAAGAAGGAAACATTTTAATTAATAGAATTAATTTTCTGATCAACTTTATGTCTACTTATGATGAATTGAAAAAGTCATTCCTGTGACAATGTCACATATTGTACTAAAAATTATTATAAATATTTACTTAATTTTACTTAATTTACTTAAGTTGTCAAGATCGCTACTATATACTATATATACTTTTTACCACAAATGGAGATATAGTGATTTAACTTATATATTACCAATGATTAAGTGGTTTTTTTGAAGTAGTCTTCCTGAGAACTTTTATTCTTACTTACGAATATAAGTCGACATTTATTCATACCTCATTTAAGATGTATTGGAATACTGTATTAATTTTTTTATCATTTATGAGTGTTAAGATGTCGGCATACAGTCAGTTGTTCATTGATATAATTATTTAGATATTTCAATGTTGTATTTATAGGGTTTGAGTGCTCATCAATTTTAGAGATATTTTTTTTATGGTTTCATGCTCTGTCTTTAATAACTTCGCTTTCTATGATGTTAATTTGTAGAACTATATAAATAACTGTAATTCCGACGTACTTTCTTATTGTGTTAATTTATAGATCTATCTATAATATATAGACATATCTGTATTTTTGAATAATCTCCTCATGCTTTGTTTCAGAATTTTTGATCTTTCTGCACATAACTTGGCCAAAAATGAACGGATATTTGTTTTTAAAGCATCGAGAGCTAGATGATTGTCTGCTAATATGAGATTTTTCGCGTAACCCACAGCAAAAAAGTCCACTGGTAAAAACTTACAGATTCTTGATAGCTGATTCACATCATCAAAACATGAATTTACAGATCAGACAAACTTCTCACACCCGAATAGGATGTGTATGACTGGTGGCACCAGTTAAATTGCATAACTTCCACATTCATATCTTCAACTTCATCATCAAAAAAAAAAGAATGTCATCATCTTATTGCTATATCAATAAGAATTGACGGTTTATGCCACATTTTCCGTATTTTCAAAATTTTGATATTTGGTTGTAGATGTTCACTCCTACTGATGATTGTTGGAGTAGTTTGTTGTTATATTTATCAATTTTAATTGTTGATATATTCATAATGCGAAAAGCTTTATCACTGAAAAAAATTCAAATTCGAAATAGGTATGTCGACTACGGAAACATCACTTATACAGTAATTTTTTACTGTAAGTAAAATAACTCATTTAATTAACTTTAAACATTTTGTATTATTACTACTTTTAATAATCTTATTAATATAGAAAACTTTAACCTAAATATATAATGTCTTCGATGACAGTTCTGGTTTGTTCTCGAAACAGTGTTAGACCACGATATCGATGAAGGCTATGTCTTGTAGACAGTCATAATCACTTCAATTGTGAAATTGTTGTTGTTTTTAATGTAAAATAAAAAATTTTAAATTATAGGAAAACATAAATTTCGTCAATTGAGACAGAAAATTGAAGTTGGTTACGGTGAACAGATTTTCTGTGCCTAGTCACGTTGTCCAAAATAGTATTGCTCAGTAATAAAAACTAGAATGCGTGCCTAAATACATGAGTATTTTTGGACATGCAATACAAAAATTATTACTCTTTAAAATTAGGCGGAATAAAAACGTACCAAAGTAGTAGTAAAGCTAGCAAATTGACGATTGTGATATGACTCTGTGCATAAAATGCCTTGTGATCATGAGCAAAGAAAGTATAAAATTGCCGTGATCATTCGTCATATGATTGCCTATATAACATGGCTCTAATATGTTATTAAGTTTATACATCAATTATCAATTGTTAAGATACTATACATTTATACATCGGTAGTCGTATTGACCCGTTGTAATGCCACACAATATCTGCGAGACCCAAAAACCTCAGCTCTCAATAAACCATTTACTTACTTACTTACTTATGTGGCCATAACAACCCGTTACCGAGTTTCGGCCTGACGCAGCATGTCTCCCCACTCGCCTCTGCTGCGTGCGCGCCTTCTCCAGTCTCGTATATCAAGTCCAGTTAGTGCTCCCTCAACTTGATCACTCCACCGGAGCAACGGTCTACCTCTACGTCTTCTTCCGCCAACTACTGCTTGAAACTCCTTTTTCGCCGGAGCGTCTTCATCCATTAACACGACATGACCAAGCCAGCGAAGCCGCTGAATGTTAATGCGCTGAATTATATCAATGTCGTGATAAAGCTCGTACAGCTCGTGGTTCATTCTAATGCGGTATTCGTCGCCAACTTGTAGAGGACCAAAGATCTTACGTCGGCGTAAGCAAGGAGCTGGACACATTTGTAGAATATTGTTCCATTACGATGAACACCTGCCCTGCGCATGATCACTTCCATGACGAAATTGAAGAGGTCACATGATAAGGAATCATCTTGTCTAAAGCCTCGCACGGTATCAAAAGGTTCAGAGAGACTCGATCCTACCTTGACGGAGCTACGGGTATTGCTCAGCGTCATTCTGCAAAGTCGCAATAAACCATTTAGTCTACTTAATACAAATCTCATACAATAAATCAACTTTATTGATACATATATAGTACAATATTAGTACAATACTATAGTACAATATAGTACTGAAGTATTGCTTTTATTTACTTATGTATTGATAATTACCTGACTTCACAATAGGTGGCAACGCCAGAACAAAATCAATTATATTTTGTGTATCGGGCAAGTATTAAATGTTATCTGTGAAACTTTCGACTTTATCAGATGTTTGGTTAGCATTTTGCAAATAATTAAGATAGTGCGTGCACCTTGGGGATTTTTTATAAAATGGAAAAAATTGAATATCGTTCAGTAATAATATTCTTCCATTTAAAAGGAATGAACAATGATGCAATTCAATTGGAAAACTATTCTGCTTACGGCAATCTGCCACCATCGTTAACAACAATAAAATATTGAAAAATTGAATTTAAATGTGGTCGTACGAGTGTTTTTGATGAAGAGCGTCCGGGTCGTCCAAAACAGATCACAACTGAAAAAAACATTGAAAACTTCACGATATTTTGTTGGATGATTCAAAAATTAAATTGCGTTAGATAGTATAGATGGCAAATATATCATATGAACGTGTATTGAATATTTTACAACAATATTTGGGTATGAAAAAGCTGATGGGTGCTGAATTTGCTTTGAAAATGTTTATGCACAATATAGCTGACATAAAGGTCCAGAATTTTACGTGGATTCCTGCTGTGAAGGCTCCACACCACGGTGTTCTTCACACACGCATCGGTATATTGCGCCAACTGTGAGCGCCGAGTAGTGACAATTGATGAAACTACTTCATCCTGTGATTACTTCACATCTCAGTGAAAACAACAAACCAGAATATGGGTAGAGTCTGGGAGTACAGCTCCCAAACGACCACGAACGCAACAATTAGCAGGAAAAGTTTTGGCTTCCGTCTTTTGGGGTTTAAATAGAAATAAAATTTTTATAGACTAATTGGAATAAGGCAAAATAATATCAGATTACTATATATTATTGGATCGATTGAATAAGGAGAATAAGAAAAAACTACCACATTTGTCGAAGAAAAAACTTTTGTTTTTGCAGGATAACACACCTTTCACAGGTCAATGAAAACTATGAAAAAATTGAAATCAATTACGGTACGAATTGCTTTCTCACCCACATTATTCTCCAGATTTGGCTCCCAGTGACTATTATGTGTTTTCAAGTTTGAAAATATTATTCCAGGAAAAGAGATTTCCATCACATGATAAAGTAGAATAAAAAATTGAGGTATATTTTAGAGGACTTGATAAATCGTATTGTTTAAAAAGTATCCAAATGTTGAAAGATCGTTAGACTCGGTATTTCGATCTAAAAGGTATTGAAGCATAATGTATAGTATATAATTAATGGTTTCATACGGTAAAATCTTTTTTCTTATAGTTCCCAAACATATTATTTATATAATAATAATAAAAGTTAAAGGTTTAGTTATAAGAAATTAATTATAAAGAAATTTTGGAAAAGTAGTGAACTACAACAACAAAAATGCTTTTATATAACTTTAATTAATTGGCTGACCATGCAGCTGTTTCGAGTATTGTTATATACCTATTATCAGTGGTCTTGGAAATATTTTTTGTATATAATTATTCGTAAATAATTTTTTGAGACTGCAAGGACTAAGGAATGAACTCGTGCCCTGCCAAATTTAAAGCTCAGAGTCAGCGCACCTTAACTAATTGACCCAAAACCGTACTTGACTCGTATGTTCGCGCATTTTATTGGAGTTTTGTTAATTTGCTGTGAAAGCTTATTAACAAATTCACTTGCTGTGTTATATTGAAACGATATCATAAATTTGAAATTAATTATCTATTTCCATTCCCATTTACTAAATATATTAACATAATAATAATAGTTTTAAATCCAGTAAAAATATTAGATACATAACATTAATTCTTATTTAAATATTAATAGAGCAACTTCTCTGGAATCGCTGGTCAGAAGAATGGGTTGTTTTATATGACGATTCTACTATGGCCTGGTTTACAGTAAGTTCTACTCAAAATATACTTAGTAACGTCATTTCAATAAACTATATATTAAATATTTTAACTTCAGGAACCAGGCAGGTCCTCTCCTGCTGGTAAAATACTAGTTAAGGA